GATGTGTCAAAAAAAAACTGCAATTATGAGGGTTCAAGTTATATTTAAATAGTGGGGGTTTAAAATTCTCTAGTTTTGTCTTAAATTCATATGATCTTAATCCATCTTGAGGTTTGCATTTTCACAAGCAATAAACGGTATTGATAATACATGAAGAAAAGATTACACTGTCACCAAGGAAAACTATATACATGGATAATAGATTTAGTGGCTTGAAGTTGTGAAATATAATGTTATTAGCCATATAATTCTCAACAATTCTATTCTCTTGACTTGTATTTTGTTAAAATTGTGAATATGAACTTTTTGATGTTGTACATTGAAAAATATGTATTCAAGTCAAAGGCCATCAATTTGCAGGCAACCAACAACTTTTGGATTTGTATTAAATTATTTCATGTTGATTGCTATGTGGTTATCTTTGTATTTAATGCAAACTGGAATACTTAATTTTCATGCCAAGCACGACTATAGTGAGACTATGCTTGGATGGAAACGCGGATAGTGGATGTTGACTAAGCTGGTAGCTATGAATTTTGAAACCCTTGAGATTTTTCATTATAAGGCTTGCATTACTTGTAGATTGAATTTTGAAATTAAAACATAATAGTGCGTTGACTATTATATTTTTTGAATTTTCTTAATCTCTTATTTGAGTTGTGCAGATTAAAAAGTGAGGCATGATTTGGATAGATTTGAATTACTTATGAAGTTTTCTTGCAAAAGAAAATTCATTGAGGATTATGAGAATGGCGGGTTACTAGATTATCAGCCACTGAGAAGAGTACAAAAGTGATGGAAATTAATGTGGCTTTGCTTGATGTGAGCAAATATATGCCCATTCTATTTGCTCAATTTATGAGGATGACATAATTATTGTTTTGTGAATCTATTCTAACTTTATTTTGAGTTATGCAAACTAGCATTCACTGAAAAGTATGACCTGATGTGAAAGTACTTGAAATATTTTTTGATATTTCTGCAAAGGCAAATATAACCATGGAGTTTTTTGAGAATGGCTTCTAGTGCATCACTAGACTACTGGCCATGGAAAAAATTTAAAAATTACATATGAGTAAATATACGCCTACACTATTTGGCAAAAATATATGGATGAGAAATTTTCTCATCGAAGATTGGTTCCATGTATTTGGACCACTAAGAGATTATTTGGAAAAATTTGAGAATATCATATCTTTGTTATTTTATTTGTGTTGAAAAATTAAATCTCAAGCCTGAGTCAAGGATATGATACACATCGAGGGGGATAAGACAAAAGTCCAATAAATGTTAAAAATCACCTATGAGGATACAACCACCTAGGGACTGGAGATCCCAAGAACTAGGTTGGAGACAAACGAATCATAGAGTGATTTGGTTGATTAATATGCACTACTTTAATTATATTGTCTATCCCTATGATGTAAGTGCATTTGTGATCCTATGAGATAAGTGAGGTTGGAATTTTTATTCCCTTAATGAGTTCTATAGCCCTTATGGGTGGGATGTCTAAGTCATAGGAGCATCCTTGATAGACTCACCTATATGAGTGTGGAAGCAGGGCCGCTTCCTATGAGAATTTGGACTGGTTCTCTAGAGCACTCATGAAAACCGGGATAAAGCACAAGGCCATAAATGTGCTGGCTTATGAAACCTATTTTAGAACACTGAAAGGTTCATGTGTGTGATACGATTTCACGTGCCCTCAAGTAGTCATCATTTAAAGGCTAAGTCCACTTTGACTCTAGCACGGCAATTATTGAGCACTAAGTGAAGGTTTAAAGGCATTGCCACCTTCATTATGCATGAATTTTTAATCTTTGCCCTATTAAGTGTTAAGTTTTGAATATTATATTTTTTATTAAAATAAGTGGGGGATTGTTGGATATTTTAATAAAAAATATCACATATTTATTTTGAATTCAAATTAAATAAATTACAAATTCTTTAAATAAATTTTCAGTTACAAATTGAAACATTTAAATGTATAACTTATGAGATTTATGTCTTGTTTTTGTAACTTATGTAATGATTAGGTTTTATGAATTCTTTCAGTAATTTTTTACCATTATACAATGAATCTAGACTTTTCAATTTGTAACTGAAATATGAGGTGAAATTCCTATTAATGTTGGTATTTTAATATTCCTAGTTTCTTAGCTTATATATATAAGGCATCTATCAACCAAACCTCATATACATGCTTTGCTATCTCTATACTACCTTCTATTTTTCTTCCACTACTATAAGAGTTTATAGGGCAAAGATCAGTGTTAGTGTGAGGTTTCTGTCTTATTCCAATAGTGTAGATTGGAGTAGACTACCGTGTGCAAAAGGCTGGGCTGTTGTATCTTGGAGGCGACGTGCTGAGATCTACTACACCTGAGAATACTCCGTAGGGGCGCGAATCGCCTTAAAGAGAGCCACCTAGTCCGCGCCTCAACCCATGCCAAATCAACATTTTTATGGTACAAATTATTTGCATTTTTAATCCAAGATTAAGGTATGAATTTTTGTTAATTTATTTGTTAAATTTTATTAGAGAAATTATTGTGACTTGTATGATTTATTTTGGTCTAGAACCAACAAAATGTCTTTTAAGTCTGATCGTACAAATCTTGGAAAAGAACAGGGAGTACATATTAGACTACAAGACACGAAGTAGGTGAAGTAAATCTTCAATTCAAGTAGGTGCACAAGGTTTCATCATCTTCTTTACAATTTTGAGCAGTAAAGAATAAGAAATAGACATGAAAAACCACCTTTGGCCGTGCCAGTTTAGCAACAAAAACTGTTTCTGGCTTTCTAACTGATTCAGATTAATTTTAAACAGCAAAAGACAGAAAATGTTACAATTGTTTGGCATCAGCTTTCTACAAACGTTGACTATCAGACTATCTTCCAGCTAACTTTCCACTGCCCTTACAACTCCCTCCCCCCTTCCAACAACCAAAAGATGAGAGAGAGAGAGAGAGAGAGAGAGAGAGAGAGAGAGAGAGAGAGAGAGAGAGAGAGAGAGAGAGAGAGAGAGAGTGTGTGTGTGTGTGTGTGTGAAAAATAGATGCTGCACAAACATCTTTCATAACCATTCCTAGAAGTGCAGAAATTACACGGATGATGCACTACCAGTTAGCAGCAACTTATAATCAATGGTGTAGTAGTTCACCTTCTGAAGTATTAGAATACGATTTGTTCAAACTCACCAATGCATCGACCGTGATTGGTGTTAATGGCATCATGAAATGATTTAATGCTAGTTCCAGATTTTGGACATCATTTGTCATAGCAAATTGAAAATACCTAGAGCCTATTCTCTCTTTCTTGAACTCATATGTCCCATTCCAACAAGTATATATTTATGGGACATCATATGCATCTCTCTCTCTCTCTCTCTCTCTCTCATCAAAACTGCAGAAGCCAAAAACTTGATCTTAAATCAGACTAAACGTGATAAATTCAAAGCACCTTTTCAGGATCCAACTTTGCCAATTCATTGCAAATGAGAAGTCAGTCTGCATACTAAGTTGGTTAAAGAACAGTCAGTCTAAATATTAAAACTAAATTCGGTAATGATTCCTTTCGTCAAGTTTAAATTCCCTTCCTCGTTTGCTTCACATCCAGAAACTTTCAGCATCTTTTGCTGTAACAGTTAGATGTTCCATGCAAAATCTAAAGGCACTATTAACGGTATATTACATATTAGTCCCCTATGATTTCATCTATGGCCACAAGATTCCCCTAACATTTCAAAATATCCAATTCACCCCCTATGGTTTTATGTAATATGGAAATTTGACAGAAAATAGCATATGTAATGTCATTAATTAAAATACTAATAATGCCATTAGCTAAATGCTAAATCAATCCACAACTCAACTGCCTTATATAAAAGCATAGGGGAATTATATTGATAAATGCAAAAATCATGGGAGGTTGAAATGAATATTTATTCAAACCATAAGGGGTTACATCGACATTAAGATTTTATCACACACACTTTTAAAGCACGTTTGGTATAAATACAATAAGTGATTGTGTATTACATCCATTTTTCACTTTACATAAAACTATGGGGGTTGTGTGGCTATTTTAAAAAATTAAGGGGGTCATCAGATATTATGTAAAATTACAGGTGGTAATAAATAATTTACCCTACTATTAAAGATTACCTATAGTAGTTATTAACAAGTTCGTATTCGGGAAATAAAGAATATAATCTAACTTCAACATCTGAAAATTTATTTACTTTAGCTTCTTTACGCATATCAGGGTGTCAGAAGAACATGGCTAATGGCCAAGTCTAAGCACAACTGCAGGAACATAGCATAAAAAACTCTGGAGAAACAGTGATAAGCAGGAACAAACTCATATATCTAGATGGCTAAAAATGTATTACAAAAGGAAAAAAATAACCTAAAAAAATATTCATGTTTGGCAAGCTCGGAGTAGCTGATACACACATATTCTACACAACAAGGCTGCAATAGCATACAGCATTCTTGGCATTTAAATGTGAATAGACAAAAAAAAAAAAAAACAGAAAAAGAAAGTGTTGGGTCATTCAGTTGATTGATTTCAAAAAGAAAATCAGTACTCCCGCTGGATTATATAACAGGAATAGAAAAGTGCACCTGGCATATATGCTTGTGCTCTGCTGGTTTTAAGGATCACACAAATCTGTAGCAATATTGAAGGAAATTTCAGAAATTGGGATTGTTGATCAAAAACATTATGAAATATTGAAGGAAATAAGAACAGCAGAATAGTATCGAAATATGTTTCATAGGCAATGTTGAATTCATGATGCATGACTAATCGAATCAAAGGATTTGGGAAGCTCCGGAAGTTGCATTGAGAAACATGAGAAGTCATACTAGCATTGAACTGATTGAATATACAGAAATAGAACATCGGTAGTACATCAAACCTATTAATTGGGATACCCCTCTGCTTTTGACTCTCTGCCCCCTCAAGAAATAGACTCTCTTTCTGAGTTGGCACTAAGAAGAAGACGTGGACCACTTTCGTCGTTCAACAATCACGATCTTTAAATTCTTATTTCCCATGTCCCTCTGCTCTTGCTGAATTTGTTTCACAGAATTTACGGCAGACTCATGACACCATTTCACCTCAATCATGTCAAGAGTGAGGGTTTCCCCTAAACAAGAAGGGACCTCTTCCAGCCTAAAACAATTCTCTAAAACCAATTTCTCAAGACAGCAAAAATTATCACAAGATGCAGTCCACCAGCGAATGTCCAAGCCTGACAATTTCAGGAATCGTAGGTTTTGGAACTCCCCTTCTTCCATTTCCCATTTTTCCCCCACAAAGGAATCATAACATAATTTAAGCACTTCAAGGTTGGGCAGCTTTCCAATTGCTGAGATTTTACTCCATGGCTGACCATATTGTGATAGAGTCAACTTTCTCAAATTCAATGGGAATTTAAACCCATATCTGGCAAATCTAAGCATCTTAAGTGATTCTAAATGACTCAAGTACTCCAACACGAGAATCCCATTGTGATTTCCAGCAGATGCGGAATTCCAATAGTGATTTCCATTCACGCATGTTAGCCTACGGATGCTCGGTAACTTTGAGAGTATCTTTTGCAAGCTTTGACTTTGAGAAGAGGGATCCATTGCAAGGGATAAAGTTTCTAAGTGTTCTAAATCTGGGGAGCCTTTAAGATTGAACATGGGAAATTCGAAACCACGTCCGTAACTTGGAAAAACGACAAGATGCTTTAATGTTTTAATGTACCAGATAGAGTATGGTAACAGAAAACTACAAATGCGTCCACCTACCGCAAAAGTTTCTAACCTTGAGAGGTTGGCTATAGCAGATGGGATTTCCTTGCTCTCCAATTGAATTCTCAAGTACCTCAAATGAACAAGGAATAACACTTCCCTTGGAAAATACCAAAAAACAACCTTCCCCAAATCCAACACTCTAAGGAGTTTCGATAACAGAAATTTGAGTGAGCTTCCGTCCAGCTGTCCATAATAACAATCAAAGAAGAGCAAACAACGCAAATTGGGATAAAACAGCCTTGACTTTATAGGTCCCCCACTGGTGGTAGGGAAAATGGACAGCCGGGGGGAAGGGGGTTTACACAGTCCAGTAAAAGTAAGAAGCTCATCCCCATGAAAAATCTGTAGAAAATTTTCTTCTTTTGCTTTCGCCACACAAAACTCATGTACCAAATCATGAATTCGGCAAACTTTGATCCCACCTAATGATCTTCGTCGGGTAACCATAACTAAACTTCTTCCAATTAGATCCATCAAATAGTTGTCCACCACATCCTCTAAACTCTTTCCTTCAATCTTTTGCACGAATCCTTCAGAGATCCAAAGCCATAACAACTTTCGGATAGGAATGTCTTGGTCTTCTTGAAAAGCACCCAAGTAAAGAATGCACGGCTTCAAATAATCTGATAAATAATTATAACTGTGCTCAAGTGTCTCCATGCAGTGTTCATTGTCCACAAAAATGGTGGAACTTAGATGTCTTGCGACTTCTTCCCAGCAATCTTGCAGAGTAGTAGCAAGAATTCCAGCAACAAGGACAACTGCAAGAGGTAAGCCCTTACAGTATTTTGCTGCATGCAATACAAATTCACTTAATGTTGGAGGACAATCTTCCTTGGCAAATAGCTTTTTCTGCAGCAATTCCAAACTCTCTTCATCAGTAAGTGGGCGAAGATGGTGAGGCTTGCTATTAGATTTAATTTGCAAAGACAAATTCTGAAATCTGCTGGTTAATAGTATCCTGCTTCCATTGCAATCATCTGGCAATGAATGTTTCAACAAATTCCACCAGTCAATGTCCCAAACATCATCCAAAACAATGACATACCTCTTCCCTTTCAAATGCTGGTAGAGCTTTTCAGCCAAATCATCTTCATTCATCTTATGATAGTGGTTAGAACTCAAAGAATCAATAACACAAAAAATCTGCAGTAATAAATTGTGCTTGCAATATACTTGAGAAACAGTACACCAAGCACGAATATGGAAGTGAAACTTTATTAAAGGATCATTGTAGACATTATTGGCTAAAGTTGTCTTACCTAGTCCAGGCATACCCACAACAGCAACAACATCAAACTGGCTTGATCCTCTCGTAAGTCTATCAATTATATTTTCCACCTCATCATTGTGACCTACTAGAGCTTCATTAAATATTGGAGCAGTAATTTGTGATGGCATGTGAATGGTAGTCTTGGTAACTATCTGGGTTTCACCATTGTATCTTATGTTATCATAGATCTCTTCAGCCTCAATCTTCAAAAGCTTGACATCTCCAATAACAACATCCAAACAATGTTCATGTATATCACCAAGCAGTGCAGAGTCAGTTTTTAATTCTACACTGTATGCAACCTTCATGACACGACTCCAAAGAGCTTGGAGTTTTCCATTCTGGTTGCACCGCTGCACAATATTTCCTAGGAAAGATCTTAAGAATACAAGATCTTCTAGGATTGTGCGTATTTGTTCATTTGGGAAACCAATTGAATCAGCTGTAGAACTTGCTAGTTCCTTGAGAGTTTCTAGAAGCAAATCAAGAGAGCCAAGCTCATTAGTTCTAGGGAAACTAAGTGATGATGATGATGGTAGTGGATAATTGTGTCCAACTTCTGCAATGATCAACTCGAGCACTTCGAGCAAATGAGAAAGCGCCAAATCTGTTTCCTTTCTCAAGCCTTCTTTCATTTCATTCATGGAAAGGGAGAAAATCATGATTCCTGCATCAGAGACTGCAACTCTAGCAAGATCCTTCATTTCATCATTTAGCTCATTGAACTTCTCCTGCTGCTGGCTAAGGATACCCAGAAATCTTACTCCCTCGTGGAGTTTTAGCACTTGATCCTTCACTGGAGCCGGGAAACTGGTGTAAGACTGTTCTAGCTCCATGATAGTATATAGGAGATAATCAACAAAGTCAGCCACTGGATTCTTATTCTCCTCCAGAGCTAGAACGCATGATGATCTCAATAACTTGGAAGCTTGCAGGACATGGATATAAGTTTCTCGGACTTGAGGATGAACAGGATCAATCTTGTGTATCAGTTGATAAATTTGAGGTTCCATCTTTTTGCACACTTTCTTACTATTTTTTTGAAAAAAAGATGTAGAAGCCAGGCTTGCAGCATTGACAGCCACAACTTCAGCGTGAACCAATAGATCTATCAATGGCTGACCCTCAACACCTCGCAGTGTTGCAAAGCGAATGAAACTCTTCAAGAACATTAGCTTCTCTTGAAGGGTTACCATTACAATTTTCAGAGCTTCATCAACTTTGCAATTGCTGCTGCACAGATGCTTTAGATTCTCTGAAATGGAATCAATGAAATCCATAACTAGTGGTAAATCTTCTAGCGAGTAGCAGAGCAACAAACTGATGATGCCCGATTTCTTGATATCTGTTTTAAAAAAAACCTCATATTTTTCTTGAGTCTGGTGAACTCGCATCTGATGTCCCTAAGAACATATGCGTCAAGCTGATTATATCTTAAAAATGCAGAGTCAAGTCCACGCATTATCCCCCAAACCAGATCTTGAATCCCGAACGAAATACTGCTAAGTCTCAAACTGTCAGACTTAGCATCACACTTGTCCTCCTTATCATATTCCAAACACATCCCCTGGTTGCTCCTCCTCCTACTGCACTTTCTAATATACAGATCAAAGGTTTTCAACAGACGTATCCCCGCCTTCAGCTTCCAAATATCTGAATCGAACTGATAGTTGAACCTCTTGTCAAACCAGCCCAGATAATCTAAAGCATAATCAACGCAACTAGTGCTACTGCTGGAGAAAATTTTCACCATGGTTCTTGCTTTTCACTCTGATTTCAGATTTCTAATCTATTATTTTGAAAGGAAATCAGTCTGCATCACTACAATTTCAATCAAATCTAAATATGGGGAGCACAAAATATGAACAAAAAGAGATTAAACATCAATCAGAGTAGATGTAGGGGTCAAAGTAAAGGGTGGACAAGTTAGAAGAAAACGGGCACCGAAGATTAAAATCCAATCTACCGGGTCTAAACTTGAGGCTTTCCAAATAAAATCCTGAACTGATTTGGCTAACCAAAAAGAGACACATTCCCTGGTCCGTAACTTCCATTACACAATCTCCTTCAATTAAAAACAGAAATGTTCTGAACATATATAGTATAGATTAACAGAAAGTTCCAAAAAATGAGAATACATGTGTAAAATAAGCAAGACACGGATAGAAAGTTCACTGTCTCAATCTTTTCGAGTAGTAGTTGAGTTGTGACAATTAAAGTGGGAATCTGTGTTATTGGCTACATTGTTACAGAAAGAGGTGTTGGTAAATCAGAGAGTGAGGGGAAAAAGTCGGGCCGGCAGACTATGCATCTTATAACCAATTATTGTTAAATGTAATGCAAAATAGAAGTGTAATTAATGAGCACCGTTCTTTGGGGCAAAGCTCTGCCCAGCCTGGAGGGATTAGCCTCCAGACCCGAAAAAAAAATTTAACGAGCACTATTCTAGGCCACATCACCTGCAAAATAATGTATATTGCATATACATTTTCCAAAATTTAGATTTTGGGCCAAATTTGTATTTCAAACACAAATAAAAAGATGGACTTATTACAATGAAAGAAAAGTTGAGTAAAGTGAGAATTAAGGTATATACTAGGGGATCAGTGGTAGATTATCCTAAAAAGGATCGTGCAGGTATGTTTCAAAATTTCTTTTTTTAATTGCCAAGAAATGGTAAATTGAATGTGTCTCTAACAAATAACTCAAATTTGATCAAGTTACTAAATCGAGTTTGAATTTATTACTTCCTCCATCACATTAAAAGTGTCATTTTTTTATTTTAAAGTACCCCAAAATGTTTATCGTTTTGAAAAAATCTAAACTCATTGTAATCTTTTCTTCCAATATAGTCCTTCCTTTTAATTATATACACATTGCCATTCAAATTCAAAATTTGAATTTTCGGATTAAATTTGAAAATAATAAAGTATAAACATCACAATCAAAGTGCTATTTTTAAAATGTTGAATTCCCAAAACACGACAAACAAATTGGGATAAAGGGAGTACTATTTGGTTCAGTAAGGATGCAATATTTGTCTCCTTAACTAATACTGGTATATGTGAACGTGCGTTGTGCATTAGTGGGGTGTTTTTGAGGGATTTTGTAAATTTAGTGAATCTAAAAGTAGGAAGCAATGAAATGTTGTATAGTAACAAAGTAATATAGTAAGTGAATTGATCCTTTAAAGGTTAGCATGAAGTAAAAGCAAAAGATTTTATCAAAATGGACGCGAAACTTAACGGCTACGTACATAAAATTACCACCGTTTTCTTAAAATAGTGATTTCCCGTTAGTGTATTGTTCATCTTTTGTTTCCTCAATGTTTTCACATTAACCATGAGTAGTGTCGTGTTACAGGTAGAAGCAAAATCATGCTTGTTATAAGATTGGTGATTGGTCTTATAAATTCTCTCAACTTATACATAATTTTATTTACATCTCAAATGTGAATATGAGAGTGGAAATATGTGCATTCATTTAAATTATGCTGCATAAACACCGGAAAATATTTTGAGAGATATTCTTTTTTCACTTGTCAAAATAATCTAGACTATCTCAACTACACTCCTATCAGTCCATGAAACACAACAGTTGTTTTAATTGTCATATTAAGGATAGAAATGTGCTTAAGAAAAGGAAAAGAATGAATAGTAAAATAGCAAATTAAAGTGTGGAATTGAAGTAAAAAAAAAAAAACCATAAATGACCTCTTTATTTGTTGCCTGGTGAACAATGCAAGGAAACAACCGAAAAATTTGGATGACCCAAAAGAGGAGAGCCTTTATTTTATTTTATTTTATTTTCTTAAGTAGGAGGGGAGCGAAAATTGAGTCGAATTCGAATCGTTTGAGTTTTTGACTCATAAATTTTAATTTTAAGCTAATTGATCCAAGTTTGAACCCAGGTAGAATATTTATTGAGTACGAAATGCTGTTCAAATTTGGTTTTAATTAGTTGGTGAACCAAATTCAAACAAATTCTTACCCAACTGAATTCAATTCAAGTATCGAATAATTTTATTGAGTGTGTTTTTGTATCCCACGCCGGGATTTTATAAGGAAATATCTCCTCTTGATAGTTATAAATATAGTGAACTTAAGTGAATTTAATTATGCTAAGGGCACCGGCCCAAAAGAGTTTTGGAAGGCCCACGCCGCAGTTTGAGAGGAGTTTTGGTTTGACATCAAATCAAAAGAGCAAATTATGGGCCTTTGGGCCATTAAACATTTAGTGCTATTTAGACTCTTTTGTGTTTTTAGTTTTAGGTGCCTTTGGACCTAAGAATTATTCCTAGGGTTTTGAACTCTCTCTTTTGTACTCTATTTCTGTTAGGGTTAAATGCAAAAAACCCCCACAAACTATATACCCAGTTGCAGTTTACTCCCTAAACTATAATAATAGACATTTTGCCCCCTTGAATGATATATTTGGACAAATCTACCCCTTTTATTTTAAGCATTGTTATTTTTCTTTTTTCCCTATCATTTTCTTTTTAAATTTTTCCTTTTTTTCTTTAAACATTGTTTAAATAAGTAGACTAGATTAGTCAAATTTTGTTTATTTCTTAATTTCGTATGTCAATATTTTATAAAAAAAAAAATCTATGGAATACAAGATTTTTTTTCCAAATGTTTGAAGTCAATGTCATTTAAGAAATTGAACTTTTCAAATATATAATAACAAAATAGAGAAATTGATTAATCAATTATTAGTAGTATGAATAACAAAAAAAAAATGAACTACTATTGTTGTTTATTCTTATTTTTTATTTCACTACAAATAACAATTGCTAACTTTTCTTTTTTGTGTGATATATAATATGTTACTTTTATTATAAGTAGTTGAGTAACTGTGAACTCTTAATTAGTTTATAGGTACTTAAATTGTTGAATTACTAGATTAATACACTTTACAATATAAGCTACATATATTTTGTAATAACAAAGAGTTTATGACAAATTATTAAGAATGAATTTAACAAATAAACAAATTAAAAAAGCAGTTTAAAAAAAATTAAAAATTTTTTATGTAAGTCTTTTCACATCGAAGAGAGACGTTGGCTAGTTCCACGGGAGAAGGAGAAAAATAAAGAAAATAAAAGGAAAAAATGAAAAAAGCTAATAGAGAAGAAAAAAGAAAGGATTCAAAATAGTAGGGGTAGTGTTGTCCAAACATATCATTCAAGGAGGCAAATTGCCTATTATTATAGTTTATGGGGTAAACTACAACCGAGTATATAGTTTGTGGGGGTTTTTTGCATTTAACCCTTTCTGTTATAATAAATCTGCTACCCCTTCCCCCGTGGGCGTAGGTCGATTTGATCGAATTACGTAAATTCTTGTGGTTCTCTGTTTGATTTATTTGTTCTGTTATTGTCATTATTGAGTTGCCAAGAACCCTATTAATTCTCGTTCATTAATTCCCTGAGACCACACCTAACAAGTTTGAGTCGTCTTTCAGCCCTATTAAGCTATGTTATATCAGGAGATTTAGATTTGTTTTTCTCATAATGGATCTCAGAAGCATAATCATATGTTGCAGCTATTTTGTGAACATTTATTGACTGACTATATGAGTATATGTTGCATATTGACTAAATCAATCCCTGAAATTTTAGTGAAGAAATGAGTAAAACATAGAGATGCATTCAGCTGAGGGTAGGGTGGTGGGAATATTGCAAGACTTTGCCTTCATCCCTTCGAAATTTTATCGAGGGAAGATAGCACCAATGATTAATAAATTAGAGATGCATTCAGCTGAGGGTCTGATCGCTTTGTAATTTGCCACAACCATTTTTTTCAGTAAGTAGTGATTTTCTTTCCAGATGGCCAAATTGCCATTAGCAATAGATTAAAAACGTGAAAGTCAAAAAAAAAAAAAAAAAAAAAGATGACTGCCGTTTCAATCAAATATGAATATGGGCAGCACCAAAATGAACAAAGTGAGAAATATCAATTAGATTAGCAGTCAAAATAAGCAATAGAAGAATCAGAAGAAAATGATCCGTGGCTAGTGTTTAAGAATGTAAAACTAATCGCATTTAATGATTTCATCGAATAATTTCAAACCCTATTTAAGAATGTATAACTAACCGCATTTTTAAGGATTTCGGAGAAAATTGGTTTATAATTGCTAATGTATGTGAGTGCTAAAGTTTCAATGCTTCTGTTGTTTTCTTTTTTAATTTACTAACTTGGCAACTTCTCCAAATTTAAAAACTTGTATAATAAGACTAACAATTTTACTTCTTTTTCCGTGTGAGATAATTTGAGCC